AGAGAGAGAGAGAGAGAGAGAGAGAGAGAGAGAGAGAGAGAGAGATATGATTATTAATCATTGCGGACGTACGTGTGGTTAACTATGACGTCATCAGCAATTCGTCTGACTCTCCACCGTGCACCACCAAGAACTCTGTTTCCGGTAATTTCCGATTAAGAAATAATTATATATTTTATCGATGAATAGATAAATCTATTGATCCACCGCTGCTTCTCGGCGCAGCAGCTATTTTTAATGTTCACAATCACGTAAATGTTTAACCGCGCGGTGAGTGTGCGATGTGTCTGTGTTCATTATCGCCCGACATCTCCCCACAGAGGTATTAATAAAAATAGATGAAGACTATTGTTATCTATTTTTGGAATAGATTGGAAGTTTACCTAATATAGGTAAGAAAGAGAGAGAGCGAGAGCACCTCGCGATAAGTGTTGTGCGCACGCGCGGCAAGATGGCTGCGGGTGCCATAGCAACGCGCGCACGCGCGGCCACGCAGCCGAAATATGACGTGTTCAGAAATGAACGTTAAACTTTATTATTAAATATTTCGCCCCCACCATCTCAACTACTTATATCTATTTATATCCTTCACTATTAGTGATGTGCGTATCGTCCCTTGAAGGTTCGTGAAAAGCCAAAAATGTTGGCGCCTGTGAAAAATATTGTGTTTCCACGACGTTTGTTGTTCCATAAGTAATATAACCATTCCGTAATTTATAACTAGTCCACCTCAAGTTTGCATTCATGTGTTTGTTTAAGCTGTAGCATGCAGGAAAGCCGGCGTGCGACGACGCATGCGCACACTGACGTATGCTTGCATCGATTGGGCAATATACAATAAATGCAATGTATTGAAATTGTTCGCGTTTTCAACGGTGTTTATATGCCATTACAGGTATAGATGCTTAGTATTATATCAAGGATACACACGCACGTACACACGCACGTACACACACGCACGTACACACACGCGCGCACACACACACATACACACACGCACGCACACACGCGCGCGCGCACACACACGCACGTACACACACGCGCGCACACACGCGCGCGCACACACGCACGCACCCACGCGCGCGCACACACACGCACGTGTACACACACGCACGTGTACACACACGCACACGCACACACACACGCACGCACACACGCACGTACACACACGCACGCACACACACACACGCACGTACACACACGTGCGCACACACGCGCGCGCACACACGCACGCACACATGCGCGCGCACACACATGCACGTACACACACGCACGTACACACACGCGCGTGCACACGCGCGCGCACACACGCACGCACACACGCGCACGTACACGCATGCACGTACACACACGCACGTACACACACGCGCGTGC